GTTTTATATTCTCATTCGTAAATAGAACAAACCTTCAAACTGCAAAAGTAGGTTATATTATTAATAATAATGCTCAAGATGCTATTTATTGTGATCAAAATAATGGTCCAACATTTGGTGGTGGTCATGATATACGTTGGTATGGTATTAATACTTGGTATTCTAACAACCACCCATATAGTTATTCTCGAATTGATGTTCCAAAAGGTCAATTTCAAGTAAATGATTATGAGATATTTCAAGTTATTAAAATATAAATAAAATAGATTAACTAATCACTAATTACTGTATGTCTCTTTTCAATAAAATATCTTTATGTTATAATTCGCACTTTAATAAATTTTAAAAAATTACTTTGTTTATATATATTTTGGTAACGGTAGATATAAATTATGCATTTACTCGAATGAATATAGATTTTAATTTAAAGGGTTATTATGCAAGTTTGTTGATTTCTAAATTTACTAATTTCGGGATGTTACCTAAAATTTTTGAGCTTGGGGTGGACAGGTTAATAGGTTTATTGCAATTTGGAATTAATTACGGCTCTACCTTTTTTTACATGAAGATGAAATGTTGAAGAAATCATATTATTTGACAATTTATGAAAATTTCTACCATTAGTATTGAAAAAAATGGATATTAGAAAATTTTTTGAAATCTAAATCGTGATCAAAATCATCAATAAAATTTTTTTTTGAAATTTAATATTTATAAAATGATATAAAATCAACCAAGAAATTAAAGGTTCGTCGTAATTATTGTGCAAGTTTTATATCTGTACGAAATACTGTCCATAATTGTAATTTTAAAAGGGAATGGTATGTATTTTTAAAATATAATTTCTATTTCAATTAGGCAATTTTTAAATTCTTCGCTAGATTAATGCAGTAGAATGTAAAAAAATATTTTTTTATTGATTTAAAAAAAAGGTGACTTTGTAATCCTTAATCTCGCAAATCGGCACGGCATTTACGGAACTTTAAGATAACCTGTAGAATTAAAGCCGATTTCAACAGAAAATATTAATTAGTAAGAGATATTCACACGAGGTAAGGTCCGTTAATCCTACCGCAACAACTATCATTTACAAGTAATTCCACATCTAAGACTGCGTAGTAAATATATTTTATATTTTTATAAAAAATTCTATAATTTAATGTACCTGCACTTAACTATATTTTTTAACTCTGATCGTAGGTCGTCGGTGCAACACTAATCATGCATGTTTCCAAATTTATATTTTTTTTTTATTTTTTCAAATTTTTCACCTTCTGTAAAAAATGACTTTAGAATATTTGCAGAGTGTTGCTAATGATTATGAAAGGTTACTTGAAAATGACAAAAGTTATGATGTCATTATTTATGCCGGTGAGAATGAAAACGTTAAAGAATTACATGCTCTTTCAAATATTTTATGTATCAGGTCGCAATATTTTTATGATGAATTAACCAAGGAAAATGCTGAGAAAAGGGAAGGGAAATTTATTTTAAAATTACCAAGTATTCCTCCACAAGTTTTTGAAATTATCTTGAGGTAAATAAATTAAATAGTATGCACGACAACCACGAAAATAAAATAAACCAAGTTACTAATAAATATATTTTCTTTTTGAATTTCAGATTTATATATTGCGGAAAGGTTGACTTGACGAAATTAGAAGGTCCTGAGTTATTAAAGCTCTTAAAAGCAGCAGATGCACTTAATCTCCAAATTTTAGTTCCCGGAATTGAAGAGTATTTAATTAAAGAACATCATGAGTTTTTACAAAAAAATCCTATAGGAATTCTTGAAATAATTTATCAATATGAGTCTGTTACGAAATTACGGAATATTTATCTTGAAAAAATTTGTGAAGACCCCGAAGAGATATTTAATTCTGATAAATTTATCAGTATAAAAGCACCTTTATTAGAGTCCTTTTTAAAAAGAGACGATTTATATTTAGATGAAATTGTTATTTGGGATAGCTTGATCAAATGGAGTTTGGCTCAACATCCCTCTATTCAAAATGACGCTAAAAAGTGGAATAAAGAAGAGATTACTATTATAGGCAGAACGATTCACAGGTTTATTCCTTTAATTAGATTTTATTATATGTCTTCAGAAGAATTTCTTGAAAAAGTACTTCCTTTTAGAGAATTACTACCAAACTATTTGGTTAATAACTTCTTGGCATTTTATTTGGCACCAAATAAGAAATCTAATATCGATATACAACCACCTAGACAGTCAAAATTTGGCTCAACCTTAGTTAAATTTCAGCATTTTGCCATATTTTCGAGTTGGATTGATAAGAAAGAAAATTTACATTACGAAAAAAAAAGAATTCCTTATAAGTTTGACTTACTTTATCGTGCCAGTAGGGATGGCAATACAATTGCTGCATTTCATCAAAAATGTGATAACAAAGGGGCTACTATAGTTATAGTAAAAATTAAGGGAACGGAACAAATAGTGGGAGGATATACCCCACTTGTGTGGGATCAATGCGATAAGTATAAGTCAACTAATGATAGTTTTATATTCTCATTCGTAAATAGAAAACACCTTCAAACTGCAAAAGTAGGTTACATTATTAATAATAATCATGCTAGAGCTATTTATTGTGGTCCAACTCATGGTCCAGTATTTGGTGTTGATTGTGATATTAAGTACTATAATAATATTTGGTATTCTAATAACCCAACTACTTATTCTCAAATTGATATTCCAAATGGTCAGTTTCAAGCAGATGATTATGAGGTATTTCAAGTTATTAAAATATAAACACTTGTCAGTAATCACTACTATCATTACTTATGTTTTTAGATAAAAAAAAATATTTATATTGTAATGCGAACATTAATACGTTTGAAAAGTTATTATTTTAGATACTTTAAAATTGTAAATAAATATGACATTTACTCGAGTTATATAGCTCTTAATTCGGAGCTATGAAAATATTTGCTTTCTAAACTAATAATTTCGAACTTGGGTTTACAATTTTGGCGGATTTTACCAATTAAAATCGTTGATTTTTGTATCATGCTATTACTAAAACTAGATTTGCCATTTATTGGGAGAATGTTCTGGGAAAATATCAATCAATATTTCGTAATACTTGGAATTATATCAATCGAAATCAATAAAAACTAAAATTTCAACAGTTTATCTCTTCATTTTCGCTTCAACACATCATAAAATATTATCTTTCTTTCAAAGATATTTAATATTAGAGCATGTTTATATTCTCATATTCATTAAATCATATGAACTCACGTACCCTTAGCAATATCAGCATCACCGACAAAAAAGGTCTGTCTATTAAAACTATTCGCTACAAGTCACATGCCCGAGTTCGACCTTATATATAAGCCTTTTTTGTAATGAAATTTTTTGTTACCCATTTAAAAAGAGATATACATGTATAAATTAATAAACACTACTAATATTTACCTTGTCATTTTATATAACAAATAAAACATGACTTGCGATAGCACAGCTCAAATAATCATATAATAAAATTCTACGTGGGGTATGTTTAATTTATCACAAATGATTTGAAATATCCAATTAGCTATTTTTAATCCATAGAGAAAACAATTCATTTCTCAATTAAAAAATCAAGAGTGTAATGGGTTAAAATCAATCATTCGATAATAATTAGTGATCGTTGAAAAATTTGCCTTCATATTTCGGCCGAACCTTCTTTTCAATTCCAAATATTTTGCCAAATCCGTCCGAAACCCTCCCTAATTTAGAATCATTCATTACGAAACTATTTCGCCCGAAACGATATAACAAAAGAGATTTTATGGGTTATAATTATTCAAATTTGATGTCAACAGAAGATGATTGAAAATAATCTTAGTCTTGTAACGATATCACAACAATTGCTGATTTTAATGTTTAGTGTGAAATTTTGTTAAGGTGCATAATTATATTATGTATTATATTTGTTAACTTAATTAGTTAGTCGATATTAATAGATTTATTTTATTATAATTAATATTTTATATCATGTACATTGAGTTGAGAGATAGGGTTTTGAGATAAAACCATGAGCTCAATAAAATATTTTGTTATTCATTTGCTATTACCTTTTGCCTTGCCTTCACATAGGCGTGATTGTGATAAAGTTATTGTGTTTAATTCGAAGGACTAAATTAAGTTATTTTCTTTTACAGAAACCCGGCTAAAAACTTCCAATGCGACATCAAAAATGACTATTTCCCAAATTTGAAGACGTTACATGATAACCAGAACTCGTACCGAATGAGAGAAGGATTTGAACATAATCTGGACACTGCAAACAATTTCCGGACAGATTACCTTTTCCATAGAATTTTTATGGAAGTAAAATGAGAAAATTATTTTAAATAACGTAAAAATATAAACCAGCAATTTCCATATTTTATTAATAGCAAAATATTCGACAAGTAAAAAATGTTATTGTGAAATTGCTATTTTAATAGAATCACTATTCGGTGTAAAATAAAAATTATAGCACGTAAATGTAAAAGAATATTATTTATTTCAATTAAAATGTTACAATTTCAAGTAAAATGTTGAAAAAAAAATCTAAGAAAACATCAATGTTTCATTTGAATTAGAAGAGTAATCACATGTTCAGTATAATATAATTAAATGTATTGAGCTTTTATATGAAATCATAAGAGCTATTCGTTTAGTTTGATGATTTAATAATCATCTAATTCATTCAAAGCAGTTTCAGTAAAGATAGGATTTCTTGCCGCATCATCGAAACCCAAATGTTGTTGTGACAGTTGCCATGTATAAATGTTCGTATCAGAAGAAGTTTTTGGTGAAGTCTGAGATTTTTCCAAAAGTTTAAATTATTTAATTGTAAAATGTAAAGTCTGTAATAAATATCATAAAGTAATCTTACTTGGCAAAATCCATCGTCATCAAATGAATTATTAAAAATTCCATCATCCTTCAAAAGATCTTTATTAAGAATTCGAGATGGAGATGGGGATGGGGATGAGAGATGTTCCAGAAGAGCATCAAATTCGTCCTCATTATCTTTCTGTGAAAGAAGCGGCCAATTTTGTACAATACGTCGTGCACGCTTTCTCATTGTACACGGCAAAGAACTTGGTGAATGAACCGGAGTGCTAAATACTGATTCATTACATGTACTCGGATTGAGTCTTGGAGCAGATTTAGCCCATCTAGTTCTTTTTACGGGTATACTCTGCAAATTAGAAGAACTGTCCTGTCCACTACAATAATTTGGAGTCGTAGATTTCAATGAAGATAAGCTAATTTGAGCCATATTGGAAGTAAACGGTTCTGTCGATTTATAATTCAAACTGTCATCCTTCCACTTGATATATATTTGGAAAATGTTGTTAAGATTTATGTTTTAAATATCATTATGTAATAACATTCATTAAAATTACCTCATCCAATGTTGCCTGTGGACGCATAAGTATATTAGTGCTTCCAATTTCATCCGATGGTAAATCTTGCTCTGAATCCCTTGACAAGTTCTTTCTTTCCAGTTTCACATCTGACCATCTATTCATTAAATTGCCGACCGTACTATTCATATTAGATTGATCAACGAGAAATGGATTTGCAATCTCTAATTGGTCATCTTGCCGAATTGTACCGATATTACTACGCGATGTGATTTTTGAATTTCGCGTAGACCTGGTCTTTGGATAAGAAATCTCACGAGCCATCTGCGTCATTTTTTGCTATGTTTCGTAGAATTATACACATCAATCATATCTTTTTTTAAAACAAAGATTCATATATACAGTATATATAAATTACATATTACCTGCATCGTCGCGTATTTTTCATTGAGATTTCTAGCGCTGTTTTTATTTAAATTCTTTTCTGAGTTTTTACTCTTCGATAATAGAGGTGAATCATTAAATTCCGTGCAATTTAAACTTTTAGATGAAGTAGGTGAGAGAGATGTTTCGTCGATGAACCCTTTTATAAAATTAAATTAAAACGTTTATGTGAACGTTAAGTTATCATTAGTCAAGTTTTTAAATCAATTTTTACCTTCTCGTCCTTCCGTCGCTTTTATTATGGTTTCAGATACTCTATTTCAAGTCAAATAAATATTAATTTAGAAATTTGAAATTTATACGAAGCCGTAGTTTACAAATACCTAGAATAGGGAATATCTTTTAATTCTTCACTAGGAGAAGGACGTTTTTCCTCGGATGTCATCGTATAAACAGACATTTTTTTTCTCAAAAAGAGAAAGAGTTATGAGAGAAAAGAAAATCAAATATTTGGGCACGTTATCTACTTGGTGAGCTTACTATTCACGTGATCAGCTGTTAATTAACTTTAAATTACATGATAGGAGTACATATCACGTGATTACGAATTTTTCATGATGAAATCAAGTTTTATCTATAAAGGGTTAGTCAAACCCAAATATTTTGTTGGGCTGACCTTTCACAAAACCACAAAAAAAAAATGTCTCCTTTAACATCCCTTCGTGATTATGAAACATTCTTTGAAATTAAGCCAAATCTTTATCGTGCAACATTTCCTTTAAAATTACTGCTAGGTATATCCTATCCTGTGGCAGTATTTTTGATTCACATACCTTTTACCAAAGATTGGATTTTAATTGACGCCGTAGATCCAGAGAATGTATCGAAACTAGCCGAAGCACTTGATTCACATTTCAAATCATTTCCCGGTTACAATTTAAAATATATAGCAATAACTCATGGTCATTTTGATCATACAGGAGCTTTACTCAGATTATTAGATGATCATAAAGATGCTAAAGTTGTTATGGGAGATGCCGAAGTTCCTTTCGTTGTTAATGGAAAGAAATACAAAGAACTTCATGGAGAAACTTTATTCTTTCGGATATTTTTAAAATATTTTGGTAGAGAAAGTGATGTAGCTTTAGGAAGTGAAGATAGAATTGTTGCTATTAAAAAAGGTAGCGAACAAGAATTCGAATTTTATAATACTTTGAAACCAATTTTTACGGTTGGGCACACACCTGGTAAAGCAATATTTTTAAAAATTTTGTTTAAGTTTCGTTAATAATATATTATCATATCTCATATTTTTTTTTATATATTACAAAAAGGATCACTTTCATATTTACACGTCTCAACAAATAGTGTATTAGTTGGAGATTTAATTTCCAACATTTCTTATTTACCTGGCTTTTTTAATGAGGGCATCAGTATAATTCCATCTGCTTCTAGTGTATCGGATAATAAGGAATCTATAAAGATAATTTATCAAATGGAAAATGAAATTAAAGTAGTGTTTCCTGCTCATGATATTAGTCCGGATGGGATTAATATAGAGGATATAAAGAAATTTAGTCAATCAATTTAAAACTTGTTAAAGATCTCGTAATAAAAATTTAGCCGACAATAATTAATTATTTTTGGCTACGTCAGTTATCAAATTCTTACTAGAATTTATGAATTTATCGTTCTTTGATGAATTGGGATCAAAATAAAATCGGGTGTGTTTCATTAATGAATACCAACAAGTGTAATCTCTTGAATTTCAACAAATAGTAAATTCGTTTTTTGTTAAAAAAATTTCTTGTTTTAAAAAAACCTTAACATAAATTCTACGTGAATACAATAATTATTACAATTTATCATTTAACCTGAACTTTTAATTTTGTGAATATTTTGTTTTATATTAACAGTCAATATATATTTTTATATATTTTTTTTATTTTAGAATCCGAGAATAGTGTTTTACACAGCACAGCATATAGTAATAGATGACGATATTTTTTTTTTTTGGAGGAATTTATTTTTTTTGGCATTACGGGCGAAGACAATTTTAAGAATTTGCAGTTTCGGGCACAAGCAAAATTATTTATATAATTAATACAATAATACAAAATATATATCGATACAATAATTAAATCATTATTGTTATACGAAGATGACCATACAACACATATGACAAGACCAAAGAACAGAAAGATATAAGATAAAATAACTTACATTTAAAAACTTAACTATCTACTGCAGCCAAAGCCTTGGGTAAATAACTCCAAGAAATGCATCCCGAAAGAGAGGCCAGGCCTAAGGAACGCTGTTTTCTTGACTCGTAAAGGTAGATGCATAGCAATTTCCTTCTCTAGAAAAAGCAGACCCTTACCGAAAAAAAACTCATTCTCTCTAATAGGTTACCGTTCAACTCCCTTCCGGTAGCCTAGTTGAAGCCCAACAAAGTTGGCTTGCCTGTTAAGCTTGTACCCCCAAGTCCAACTCCAACTGCTATTCTTAACCAAAGAAAAAACAATAAAAATAACAAAAACAAACAAATAGATACCATCCTTGCCTATTTTTCCACTTTCCCGTTGTTGTCTAATAAAATAAATAATATTAAACGTTAATAAGGTTCAATACTAAAACATTTTTTTTTGGTCTTGTCAATAAGTGTTGTCGTATGTCGCGAGAAAAAAAGAAGTTTAAAATTTGAAATGAGTATTAAATATTGCAGGACTAACTAAAGCTGAGAAAATAAGACAAGAAAGAAAAGTATTATTAGTGATACAATTTTCCCAAGAATTTTCACGAAGAAAATATTGATGAACTAGTCGCGAGAAAGATACATACACAGTCCTAGAATTTCGAGTATCGTAATAGAGATTTTTTTTTTTTTATATTTGTACGGGAAAAACAAAGAAAAAGAGATGATCCGTCCGAACTTCAAAAAAAAAAAAAAAAAAAAAGTAATTATTGGTAAGGAAAAAGGGTATGGAAATTTTGAGATGGAAGGAAAAAGATAAAAATTTTCGAGAGGTGAGTAGTGTATTTATAATAAAAATACTATGACTTAACGCGTAATGTGAAATGTTTATTTCCTAAATTTCCTAAATGGAAAGAACGCGAAGTTTATTTTTTATAAAACGCACGATTATGACGTAAAATGATGTCATGTGTGCAAACTTTGAAGTTGGATTCTGATTGGCTAATTTGTGTGCAACAAAAATTTTTGTAAGCGAACGAATTGAATGTTGACTTGACGCAAGTGAGAATAAATTATAAAACCTATTTTTTTTTTATTTTATAAAAAAATGAAACTTTTTAACCAGCATAATGGACATTCGTTATATCACGAGGTGATAAAATCAAATGTCGATCTTTTTTATATTGTGTAACATTCGATG